ACTCAGAAAAGAAGTGTTGAAAATAGAGTCATAAAACAATTAACGTTTATTGACTTTCGCGGTAGGGGGTAACGCGGGGTCGGTTGACAAATTTTCTCGCAGTAGTGCAAAAGTTCTACTCACTTCGCTTGAAAGTGTCATATTTCTTCCCCACTTACAAACAAACCCGATGGCAATCGGTGAAACAGGAGATAAATTACAGCGAGTTGAAATTTGATATGTTTATTTTTTTGCGTTTTTCGTATCGAATTACATAAAAATAAATATTAATAAATTCATTTTGTCAATACGCAAGTAATTTATATCACTAGATAGAAAACAAAGCGCAGAATCCAACTAAGAAACTGTAGTTTCTTTACGCGATAGATAAAATTGAATTATTTCATATTAAAAACACTGGGTCTGTAAGACCCATGCGACTCAAGTAAGGGCCCCATTCCTAGCGACTTACGCAGGGTTAAGGTAGGTTTGTTCTTCCATGGCATCTTCTATCAACAGCGTAATACATTTTGTAAATTTTCTAAAAATTACTTTTCCGAGCTGCTTTTGGATTTACGTAAGCTACTACTTCCCTCGACAAAAGTATGAGGTAGTACTATCGTCTGATCTTACGGTAGGAGACACCATGCTAATTAAAAATAATTATTCAGTGTTATTAAACATCCTATAAATACTTTAATTTGTTTGTTTACCTTTGCTGGTAACCCTCGATATTAAACGTATCCATCGTTTTTTCAACAAATTTCCCGTGAGTCAATGCGCGACATTGACTGAGTCATACGATGTTGTGAACGTGTGCCACAATGATTTTTTCTTAGAGTTAAAACGTAAACCGTGTACTTCTGTTTGCCGTGTATAAGTAACGTTTGAACTTGCGCCACAACCTCTAATAAATATTCAAATTTTAAATTGTAGAACAATCTTAAGTTATAACAACCTTCATTTCAACCTAATGTAAAATCTGTTAAGAAATATCAGCTGTGTTGCAAGTATAAAACATTTGTTTCCAAGTGTTTTGTTTTCGTACTGTATATCAGATAAATACAAAAAGAAATATTAGGAATTGAAACAAACCTAAAAGTTACCTGTAATCTTTTTTAATTTTGATAATGATAATTTGAATAAGATTGCAATTTTTATTTTGTCATACAATCCCTTCAATTTAATTTAAGCTTTTTAATTTTCTAGTAATTCCTATATATATGTGTGTGTGTGTGCGTGCATTCTTTTGCAATTATTATAAATTGAAAATGAGAATTGTTTAGATGTAATGGCATTGCTTTATGATCTTCAGCTATAATAGTTTTTCTTTATTTTTGGTTAAAATTTGATTGTTGGACCTCAGAAAATTTGTAATATGGATGATCATTATTGATTTAGATAAAGCAATATGTATGAATAACTATATGCAAAATATTTATCCTGGCAGTGTGTGTTTTAGGACATATATAAATATCCTAAATATATCATTAAAAGTAAAATCTCAGGAGAAAATCACTAATTTTCTAGGAATTTATTTCATTCTAAAAACTAAAATTTTGCTAATTATAAAATCTGTGAAAAAATTATTTAAATTTTAGTATTTATTGGTATACGGTCGACCCCCCCCTATAAGATCATAGATACGTTCCATTCTTTAGGAATCAGATTTCTTACGAGTCCTTCCAATCACAGCCTGACACGTGTGAAGTTTACGGACTACGGCTGATTGAAAGGTTTTCTTCCATAAAATTAATCGATTCTAGACTAATCCGACTCAACATTTCCAAAATATGTATATTTTTTTTGGAAATAATCCGTATAAACTATGCTATAAACAAAAAATTGTAGGATTACTTACCGAGTGTGCACTGTTCGACATCGCCATTGCTCATGCTTGTTTTCGTCGTGGAACAGCTCAGCAAACAGCGGCTGATTTCTAATAACTTACTTTTCTGCAAAAACTTTGTTGAACTTTGGAGAGATCATTAATATAAATAATTTTAATTGCTGTTGAATAAGAAATGTTTCTTTCACAAGAAATGTATAAAATTACAGTACAGTAGATCCCCCTATAAAACCGTTTCCTATAGTTATGATTCCTATAAAAATTGTGGCATTATCCGTAAACAACGGTAAAAATAACTCCTATAATACGTAAAACGTCATCGGGCAGCCGAACTACTTACCCGCCATCCGTAGCGCCACGCTACGGNGTTGAACTTTGGAGAGATCATTAATATAAATAATTTTAATTGCTGTTGAATAAGAAATGTTTCTTTCACAAGAAATGTATAAAATTACAGTACTGTATTAGACTTACGGTACCTAATTTACATACTGTACAGACGATAGTTAGCCTAAACTCTCCGTAGTGTGGCGCTACGCGGCGGAAAATATATATATAATTATAACAAAGTTACAATAAATTAAGTTAATATATAATTATATATACAGTACCTAATTTATATATAATACTGTACAGACGATAGTAATCTCTCCGTAGCGTGGTGCTTGACGGCGGAAAATAGTTCAGCTGCCCGATGACATTGTACGTAATTATAGGAGTTTTTTACCATTTTTTACGGATACCGTCGCAATTTTTTCGCAGTTTTATAGGAATCGTAATTATAGGAACCCATTTTATAGGGGGGTCTACTGTATTGAAATTTATAGTTTTCTAAAGTCGGTTTCAGTGTGAAGCACAAATTTAAAAATTTAATTATTTTAATAAGATTTTAGTTGAACAATTTGTAAAAAAATTAGAATAAATATAGAATTTGTTAATTGCTATCAATAATTTTATGGTTGTGAATAAATCACTGTTAATAAGCAGAATTGAAATATATTTATTACAATATACATTTTAGGAATATGTGGTTTTGCTGTTAATTGTAATCAATGCACTTTCCCTTAATCTATTGGTGCCTTGTGACACCTTTTAGAGTAGAAAATAGTGCTATATTAATTAAAGTGAGTTCTGTCGCCTCCTTCTTCTTATGTTGTTAGGAGTGAATCAGAACTATACATTTGATATAATTAAAATGATTTAAATATTAAAATTAATTATTTTTCATTTTAGGACAGCAAGATTAAATTTCCATTGCCGTCTCGAATCAACAGAAAGTTCCACAAACCACGTTTTANATTCATTAATTTCAATTTTCATGTAGTAAAGGCTCTATGCCTTCATAAAGGACATACTTTTCCTTTGTTTAAAGGTATTTGGGCAGTTTATTCTCTGTTGTATTCTCAAAGTAAACAATACATACAAGTACAGTACAGTATTTTCTGAGGAAACACTCATACTTATTTTTTTTTAACCCCATTCCCGATAACCCAGCATTTTCACAAACTCGGCCACCCTTCAGTCCACATTAGGCCAAGTTTTCGAGACTCTACTGTATTTCCTCGTTGAAATATAAAATTATCACATGACCTATAGACAGTATAATCTCCAAATAGCAGACACTGTCAGAACCGAGAAGTTTATCTGCTATTCTGAGTACACATGCTGGCGGCTATGCTGTATCTTAACCTGGTCATCATATAGTGAAAAATATGGATTACAGAAACATCATATTTGCATTGGGAATGTGACTACCAAAAAGTATACATAGCATATATAATTAAAAGATATGTACAATATATTAATTTTTTCAGCTGTAAAAAATCTTGTTCAATTCTCCCTATTCCTATTTTAAGCCAGTCTTTATTCAACACCTACAGTCAAAATTTATAGTCTGAAAAAGTATCTGAACTGATTCTTTGTTTTCATTTTAAAATATTTCCTATGTAATTAAATTAATTCTTTCAAAATTTTGAAGGTGGAACATTGTGTCTTCATAAGGTTGGTTATGGATAACAGTGTCCATTATTTAGTGTCCTCTATTTAGAGGTAAATATAATAGATGTCCTATTTGAAGGGTTTGGGGATTGTAAAACTGTTAAGTAGAGGTGTCATTTATTCAGGAGTGTCTGTTAATTAATAGAGGTTTCACTGTATATCTTTTTGAAGCAACAATACCTCTGAAGCCAATTTGAGCTTAAGGTTCATTTTTATAGAATATATTTTATAAGGCAGAATAATTTTTAAGTTTGAATTGGAGTTGTTAAAAATCTTTATAGATATAAGCTAATGAGTCAATCTATAGAGCCTATCTCTAGTCATAGTTCAAATGTATTGTTAAATTATGTATACACTTTTATGCACTTGTAGCTAGAACTATATGTAAGATGATCAACACAAAACCTTTCTTGTCTTACCAGTGATGTCATCGTTGATGATAGGTATAGATGATATAGCATCTATACCTATCATCAATGATGACGTCACTGATAAGACAATACCTGGGTAAACATTGACAGCATTTAAACTTCTGCCAACCGACGCTCTCAGTGTACAGTACCTGAAGAAGGCCTACGAAGAAGACCAAAAACGTTCGTACTCCTGTTTATATGGCTAGAAATAAGTGAGGAAGGTTTTGTGTTGATCATCTTAAATTATGTATATTAAACTTTTTGAAATAATTTGAGAACTCGGTGCAAATGATGATTTGACAAATCATCCTAAACTCATCATTAATGAAATTATTATTATTATTATATTTAAATCTTAAAAAATATGCTAAATGATGAACTATATTTATCANTATATATATATATTTTGTGAAGTAATAATAACCCTATTACATTAATGCAAATAAATATTTAAAAGTATATAATTTACTAATTTTTCAAATATAATTACTTGAAACTTCAATTATTTCTCAGTTATTTCTAGTGAGAAATAATTAAACAGTTTTTCTTTATTTAGCATTTACAGTATTTTAATATAATTTTGTTCTTTCAGCTCCGTGAATACAAAGTAATTGGGAGACGTTTGTCTTCTGAAAAAGAGCCAAATCCTCCTCTGTATCGAATGAGAATATTTGCTCCTGATAAAGTAACTGCTAAGTCAAGATTCTGGTATTTTACTAGAAAATTGAAAAAATTAAAAAAAACACAAGGTGAAATTGTTTGTATAGCAGAGGTAAGAAATCTATTAAACAAATTCAAAGTATGTCAAAAATATTAACTTTATTAATGATATATAATGTTTGTCTGCTAAGATAATTTGAAAAGTAATCAAAGAAATTTATATCAGTTTAATGAAAATAGATCATATTTACTTCAATATAGACCATCAAATTTAGGATGCACCTTAATTTCTGAATACTCACTTGTGGTTTTTTTCAGAAAATAAACAACTTGAGACAAATTTATGTCAGTAGAATCAATTCTGTTGAGATAAATTTGTTCAGTATTTATTGCAAGTAAAGTAAGTTAATACATTACTGTCTTCAGTGATATCAAAGTGCATAACTTCTTCACTTTCCATGTTAGGCTCTTCTGAATCAGTACTGGATTTGATGTTCACATGCTTTAACATCACAGGGAAGAATTGCATTAATTTAAAAGGCAACAGTTGTTGAGAGTGCATCATACAACTTTATCCAGGATTTTCATTCAAGTACTTACGATGTTATTGGAATAGATTAACAAGATTGGGCTTAAGCTGACTTCTTAAATATTTGCTTGTTATGAATATTGAGTTAATAAAATGATACTGTGGACTTAGTGAGTTCTAGTGACAAAGAAATAAGATGCATGGTACTAAATCTTACTAATTTTAATATATTGCATCAAATCTAAGAGTGTTTTCAGAGGTACTAAAACCTGAAAAATGGAAATATTATCAAGTAAATATGGTGTACAAAATTTCTATATTAACCATGGGATTCAAAATTAAAACCAAATAAAGCATTCTTTGCATGAGATGCAGAGACTGTTTTATTTGGATTAAATTTTTTGTTGTTAATGAATTATTTCATACATATTAGAAATACACAAAGTGAAAAGTTTTGAAATATTTTATATGGCTATACAAGTGCTAAATTTTTAAAATTAAAGATATAGATAAATTATAGTTAAAATAATTTTCCAGTGTATTTAGATTTTATAATTATGAATTTATCTATTTTATATTGAAATGATGCATTTGAGTTGTAGAATGCTTTTTATATAGCAGAAATACTGAAAAATGCTAAAATATTTATATTGAAATGGTATAAAAATAATTATTACTATTTATTAAATAGATGTATGATAAAACTCCAACTAAAGTGAAGAATTTTGGAATTTGGCTTAGATATAATTCTCGAACTGGTACTCATAACATGTATCGAGAATATCGTGATTTGACTGTGGCATCAGCAGTTACTCAATGCTGTAAGTAAAAATTTTTAAGTTAAATTGTTTTAATTATTAAGTTTTTGGCATTTGTACATCTAATTTTTTTATATGAATGTTGAGTATAAAAAAGTGTTCTTATTTTGGGTCATATTTATACAGATGTGTGCATTCAGTCTTGAGATGGCCTAATTGGAAAAAATTATTTAAAATTTTGATTTATTTTTCTTTTAAAAATAGTGTGTATAATATGTTTGGATTTTTTTTGTTATACTTGTTCTCATTGAATTGACCTTGACCAAGAGTTAATATCAATCATTTATATTATTATTTTGCCAGAACATGGATTTCTAATTCATTGAAATTAGTATAAAAGTAATAGAATGGCATTTTCTATAAAATTAATTTAGTAATTTTGTTGATAAAAGTTTTCTTTTTTTTAATTTTATTAATAAATTTAATGTAATTTTCAGATAGAGATATGGGAGCAAGGCATCGTGCACGTGCTGATTCCATTCAAATAATAAGAGTGGAAGAAATTCCTGCCTCAAAATGCCGCCGACCTCATGTAAAACAATTTCATGTAAGTGTGATTGTTTTACAATATTAATTTTTAGTTAAGCTAATTATGATAGTTAACAATATTTCAGTTACTTTGATGAGTTCACCATTAATAATTTTTAATTTAGCTGCTTGAATGAGAATTTAGTATATTAAAAAATATTTTGCTTAATACTACTATTAAATATAAATTTCATATAATAGATATTGTATACACTCAAATAGACTCATTGTGGGTCTATTTTTTAAAATTGGTTAGGGGTGTAGGTTTAAAGCCTGTAGGCCAACTTAAACTACTTGGTCTAATTGAGTACAGTATGTTTCATTATTTGATATTCATAAGTTATTAAAGTATTATTATTAAAACATTCAATGTGAAAGATGCTATTTAAATGAAAGTATTTGAATTTAAGCTTGTTTTATTGATTTACTTTTAAATTAACATTCAAAAACTGGATTATATAATATGATTTTTCTGGATACATATTAATTTCCAAAAGTAAATTCACTATTGAAAATAGAGAGGGTGTGGCCATCGTATTCAGCCCAAAACGTGAACAGTGGACAGTCAAGCACTACCATCTGGCAATTCTAGATGGTCAATAATGGCGTTCGCTACATTTAGCATGGCGAGTAGAAGATTGGTTTAAACTTCTTCATTTTTTTGTGTTTGGGGTTAAAATAATGATTATTTAAGCATTTACGAATAATAATGTAAAGATACAGACAATTTTAATCCAGAAATTATTTAATTATTCAATTTTTTAGCAAGTGATGTAGAATTTACATACATTTGCCTTCATAATAGCTTATCTTAACCTTCTGTGAGTCGCATGGGTCTGACAGACCCGACGCGATTTTTAGTCAAAATTTTTTAATATTAAATATTTTTTGAAAAATTTGAAAAAATTAATATTCCTCAAACTTTTTAATTAGATTAACAGGCTGTTAAAATTTTTTGCATAGCAACGCTCATTTTTTAGAAAAAAAATGCTTTACGAGTCGCATGGGTATGACAGACCCATGCGACTCACGGAGGGGGTAAAAAAACGTCAATTAATTTGTCGCCGTTGCCGATAGCGAGTGTCGCAATAACTTTATCGCGCTGAAGTTGTCGCGCGGTGTCTATTATACTTTATAATATCGTTATTTATTTATATATTTATATTTTTGTTTTTTTTGTTATAATATTGTTTTCAAAATTAATGTCTAATTAACTTTTAATCATTTTAATTATTATTCTATTTTTATCATATAATTTTTATATATTACTTATGATGATTCTTCGTATATTAGACGATGCAAGTTGGCATTTTTTTACATTTACTAACCAATGGGAAACTTGTGAAAACAGTCTAGCTATAAATTGCCGGGAAATATCTCC